CTCGGCACGGTTTGGTCTCTCCGGTTTGGGCGATGGGGGCAGGCGGTGCTGCTTGTCCCTGTCCCCATCCCCGTCGCGCAGCTGCCGGCCACGGCTGCGCCGGGGCTGTCAAACGGCATTAAGCCCAAACTAACCTCTCGTCCGTGGGAGCCGTCACCATCATTCCAGATAACTGTAATCGAGCTGCTGAATATGTAGCTGGGCTCGGAGTTTTGTAGTTGAGATAAATATTGATATTAAAGCTGTCAGGGCTGGCGAAGTGACACTGACACCCGCTCCGCCAGTATCTCACCGCCTGACCCGTCAGCTCCCACCGGCCACAGCCCTGCGTGGCGCTGGCTCCCACCGGCCGGCCCGGGGGTCTCACCTTGTCCCGCTGCTCCCCAAAGAGAAGGGAATGTTTCCCGAAGCACCGGCCGGGTTGGTGGCTCACCGCCGGTGGGCGAAGCAAAAGGACAACCCCGGGCTTTCAGCCTCCGGGATGGCACCCACAGTCCCCAACCGAAACGGTCCCCACGTCCCTCTCGCCACACCTGCCCCGACCCTGCGGGTTTGGGAAGCTCCGGCACACCCCGCGGTGGCGATCAGGACCCACAACCCCCACCCTGCCCGTGTTTTGGCCAGCACGGGCATTTCCAGGTGATGCGGTTGCAGCCGGGACCAGCTGGGCTGGAAACCTCCTGGGGAGCTCGTGGTTTGTTGCTTAGGGAAAAAAAGGGTCCCTAGGTGGGGGGGCAGGGGGCAATGGGTGCTGCAGCCCACAGGGTGGCCCCTGCAGCCCAGCTGGCCTAGCAAAGCAGCAGCCGGTGCGCACGGGGCTCAAACAATTGGGAAATTCAAAAGTAAATATAATTCTGCTGCTGCTGTCCCTGCCTTTCGGCTTTTTTCCTGACGGATTTCACTTGACGCTGCTTTTCCTGCTCTGCCAGGCTGGCTGCTCACCTGTCAGGACGTGCGGCGAGGTGGGGACGGGCGGTGAGAACTCTCCCATCCCTGGGGAAAAGAAAAAAAAAGAAAAAGAGGAAAAACATAATGAGCATCCCTAAACCACCCTCTGCCCCACCACCTCCCGGGCAGGTCATGGGGAGCCCTCGTGCCCATCACCCTGCGCCCGCCACCCCACGCCGGTGCCCGTCCCTCCTCCCGCCCTGTCGTGCTCCCGCTCGCTCCTTCTTTATTTTTTTAATTAGCTGATTCGCTATCTGGCACCAAAGTGTGTTTCCAACCACCGCACTCAGGAAACCTCATTAACACAGATCAAAAGGAGCTTTTAATGATTTATAAAGGTGCAGCAGTTTGGAGAAATTAAATAATTTAGGTGGTGTGTGTACGGTGGGTCCCTCAGGACCACATTACAGGCGTACCGTGAGCTGCAGCCCGAGACGCGCATCCCTGCTCTGCCCCGCCGCCGTGGCACTGGGGATGCTGCCGGAGCGCGCACGGCGCTGCACGGCCCCGCCGGGACTGGGGCTCATCACCGCCTCCATTCTGTGGGGCTGGGAGAGATGAGACCGAGGATGGGCCAGCTCCTGCCGTAACCCCGAGCATCGTCTCATTCCTGCAAGCACCGGGGCTTGGCCAGGTTGGGATGCTGAGATCCTCCGGCACAGCCCGGCGGAGGTCTGGGTGGTGGCGGGTGCTGGTGCCACTGCCGGGGTGGCCACGCTCACTCTCTGGCCTTGCAAAACATTTTATCAACATGGTTAAAGTAAACCTTGGCATCGGTGGGGTGGTGGGACGGGGTGGGGGGGACGCCTGACCCCCTGGACCGACGCCGGGTGGACCCAGGTGTCACGGGCGCATCCGGCTCCGGTGCCATCCCCTCCCGGACCCCGCAAGTGACTTTTGCCTCTTTCACCCTGAGCACCGTGACCGCTCTTGAGCAGGGAGAACAGATCTGCCTCCAGGACACTGGGACCAACACGTGGCCAAAATCCGACGACGGCCCCGTCCGGCTCCCGCCGCTCGTGCCCGGCCCTGCCTTCAGCATCCCGCGGGACGGCGCTCGGCTCTGCGGTGGCGCGGCAGTGCCGGCTGTCCAAGGAGAAGGAGAAACAGATGGGAAAACCAGCTTAAACGTTCCCGGCGTGAAGTCCATTGCCGGCTACGGACATGCCAGGAACCAGCCGAGCAACAGGATTAATGGAGAAAAGAGCCGTAACGCTGCTGAAAGGAGTCGGGCGGGCGCCTCCTCCCGCAGGGGCCATTCCCCGCCGCCCCCCCAGCACCAAGGAGCCGCTTTGTGCTTATTTCCCGGGGGGGGGGGACACCACGACGGAGGCTGGCGGGGGGCTGGCGTTGGCTGCTCCGCAGCTGATTTTTCATCAGGTTGCGTTTAAAAGACAGCGAGAGGGCGGCGGGCGAGGTTGGGGGCTGGTTTCAGGGGTGGGGGGGCTGCTGTGTTTTATTTTGCTCTGTAATAGGCTTATTACTGCTGATCACGCTGTGACTATTTGAATGAAGGAGATTTCAGGAGATGAAAGCGTAAGGGAGATTTTAAGTATCTCAGCGCCTGGCCCCGCAAGGACGGGTGCCCTTGGAGCTGGGGGACCCCAGCGCCCGGCACCCCGGCGCCGGCAGCACTGCCCCAAACCCCCTCCTCGCCTCGCTGCCCCCGCCGCCACGAGCCCCTTCCAGCCCCTCGTTCCTCCGATGGTTACAAACCTCCTAATTTCCAGCCTCAATTTATTCATGGCCAGTTTATACCCATTTGTTTATGTGCCAACACTGTTCTTCAGCTTAAATAGCTCCTTTCCATCCATAATATCTCCCCCCCACACGTATTTCAGCAAGCGCAATCATATCTCTTTTCAAGCTGTTCAGGAAAGAAAAATCTGAATTATTTAACCCTTGGGACACTGGCTGCTCTTGCAGGGTGTAGCGAGACCAAGAGACAAATATGCTTTGTTCCCGCACTGGGTTGCTGCCCTTGTTTGGGAGTTTTGGGCGGATGCTGCTGCTACCCAGAGGGGAAACTGAGGCACTGGCTGCGGTAGGGGGGACCAGGACCAGGGTCAGGGGTCTCACGACACCCAGACCCGGGGCTGGGAGAGCCATGGGGGTTTGGGCGCAGGCAGGGTTTGCTCTCCCGGTTGGTTCTGCCCTGCAGGGGCCAGGGGTCTTGGGCTGAGGATGCCTCCGGCGCGTGGGTTTGCAGGACGGGCTCTCGGAGGGGTTTATCCCCTCCGTGGCGAATATCCGAGAGGTGAAAACTTTGGGAGCCAATGGGCTCCCGGCATGGAGATGCCACCCTGCCCAGCGTGGCACAGGGGCACGGGCCGGGCTTGGGTGCCGCCGCAGCACCGGAGGAGGGGAGGGCGGCGGAGCCGCTTCACCAGCTCCAATAGTTTATTCCAGGCAATTTCACTCCAATGGATTCCCGCTCTTGTCATGCAAAGGGGCAGGCACGTGACAGCACCGGGAAAGTTATCAATTAAACACAAACCAAGATGGAGCATCGGGCTCGGCGGGTGGCGGGTCCTGGCACCGGCACCCCCGGGGTGCCAGAGGGTGGGACCGCGGCACAGCCGCCCCCGGCTCTGCGGTGCTGCCGTCCGGCGGGAGCCGTGGCCATCCCAAGGATGGTGTGCTGGCGAGGCCATGGATCGTCCCTGGGGGGTTTCCACCGTGCCGCCGGCAGAGCCCCCGCACGTGGGGGACAGCGGAGGGGCCGTGAGCCCATCGAGCAGCCTGCCTGTCCCCTGCCCTGCCGGCAGAGCAGGTCTGGCTGTCAGGCAGCACTAACAGTAACGAATGCCCCTAATGAAACACCCAATTAGCCAGGATCCCAGCCTTAATGGTAGCTGACAGAGCTGAAAGCTGCGAGTAGTCAATTGTCAAGTGTAACATCCCGCCGGGGTGAGGCGGGGAGGCTGCTCCATCCGTCTCTGTCAGGGAAAAACAAAGCTCCGGCGTTAACCCCTTTGGCGGTGGGCGAGCTCCGTGCCCATTGACGGGGCTCCGGTGGCCATGGTGGACCGTGGCATCGGCCCCAGCAATGGCATCGGCCCCGGTGTTGGCGTCAGCCCCATCCCATGGTGTCATCACCGGTGATGGCATCAGCCCCATCCCATGGCACCAGCCCCATCCCTTGGTGTGCACCACCCTGGCTATGGCATCGACCCGGTATCTATCCATGGGGGCTGGCCCGTGCCCGGTGCTGGTGTGACCCCCCCAGGCACCCCACCAGCCCCGTGCACCCGACACCCTCCTTATATTTTTCTGTGCATCGCAGGGCGTGAAGACAAGGCCGCCAAAGCTGCTGCCAGCCCCCTGTGTGGTTCCCACCACCGCGGGCAAAACCACCCCCGGCCCTGCTGAACTCTCCAGCATTGGGCAAGGGCTGGCCGGGGAGCAGGGGGACCCCCCAAACCTCTCCTGGCAAAGCCGTCCCGTGGCGAGGGGCCGCTCCATGCCAGACACGTGCAGCTTGCAGAGGCGCAGCGTGGTGGGCGCCGCGGTCGGCCCCTGAGCGGCTGCGATGAGCACCGCGGTGCAGCCCTGCCGCCGGCACGTCCTCCGGAGCACGCCCATGGTTTCTATTTTCCCGAGTGGTTAAGCACGAGCTGCTGAGGAGACGGTAATTACCTCGTAGCTGCTGGATGGAGAATAACCCGGCTGCCTCCCGCAGCCCTGGGACCGTGGCGAGGGGACCTGCCCCGGTTCCGTGGCCGGGGGACGTGGGGTCCCTGCTGCCAAGAGGGGCCGGGGCTGCGCTTTTCCAGGCGGAGTAACCGAAACCTGGATTTGCTCAAAGCTGAGTTTTTCCTTTGGCTTGAAAACGTCATGAATTGGTGTTTGTCGGTGTGCCAAAGCTGGGGGGGGGCGTCTCTCCTCTCGCTTACTGCAATTCCCAGTGGACCAAAGATCCATGGATTTGCCCTGAGCCAGCGTCCCTGTGTCTCGGGGACTCGAGGGCTCGGCGGAGGTGGGGACAGGGCTCCGTGCCCCGCTCGCCCCAGGCTGGCACCCAGAAACCGCAGCGCGCGTCCGAGACGCGGATGCCGGGACTGCAGCGTGTGCCAGACCGCAGCGGGCTGTGCCAGGCACAGGGCTCTGCCCGGGCGCCCGCCACAGCTCCCGGAGGGGCCCCGGCTGCGGTTTGCAACGCTGCAGCTCCCGCTGACGTGGAGCGTGCCGAACGCGGGGAGCAGGAGAGGGGCTGCTGGCATCCGTCTCGGCCCCAGCCGCTCGCCCTTCCCTGCCCTGCTGAAAGGCGTATTTTATTTTTTCTATTTTGAAGCAGACGAATTAGCGATGTGCCTCGTTTAGACAGTTCAAATCCCACTCATTTTAATTAGCGCGGCCTGGCAGCCCTGCTGCGGGTATTACACGGGGCGACAGCGCGCTTTCCAGGTGGCGGGTTTTTAAAATGCTGTTGACATTTTGCGAACTGAATGACTTAAACGATAACAAATTAACAGACGGCTCCGTGCGTGCGCACGGGGCTGGCTCGGCGTGAGCCTCCGCCACGCGCCTCTGTGAGCAAATTCGGTTATCTGAGCGTGTCTGAGTGCCGGCGCCTCTCCCCGCGCGCTCGGTTGCTCCGCGCCGATGCCGGCCCGGTGCCTACGGTGGGTGCTCGGGTCTCTGCACGGGTGCCGCTGCTCGGGGGGCGGCTTTCGGGGTGCTGTGTGTTGGATCCGTCCTCCCTCCCTGCTGCTCCGGCGTTGGGGTCCCGGCGGCACCGCAGGGCCGGCTGCTCTGCCGGAGCCGGCGCTCGGTGTGAGCGCTGGAGCACCCAGTTATGCGGGCACGTCCCGGTAACCCCCAGATCCGGGCTGTTGGTACGGTTATTGGCCTGATGGTGCCAGAGGGACATAAAGCCGAAGCCAGCCAGGACGAGGTGGTGGCAGCTCCGGTCCTGCGCCGAGCAGAGGTCGGTAGTGGCTCCGAAGGGCTGGTGCTCGGGATGGGATGGAACAAGGATAAAGCAGCTCCGTGAGCCGCTGTCCCCGCACCGGGTGCTCTGCCCAGCCCTGGGGTGCCCCGTGCCCGGCACAGCGGCACAGACCCCCCATTCCCACATCACCCCATCCCCACATCCCCCTCCTGAAGGCATCGCTGGGGCACCTCCGAAAAGCCCCTACCCCGTGCCAGCTGCCTCCTCCCCGAGCCGCCTGTGCTGGGCTTTGCCCGGTGTGCCGGGGCGGCGGTGCCCGGTGCCACGGCACGGTCACGCTCCCACCGAGCGGCCACTTTGGGACCCCAGGTCGCGCGTGTCGCAGCATTCGGCAGAGCTGCTGGGAGGGAATATTTGATCAGGCAGAGATGTAATATTTATAGGAGGGGGTGAATCAGCAGGGGGAAATGGAGACATAAATAAAGATTTTCCAGCAAGGAAAAGCCAGGACGGAGCCGAGACAAAGTCACCCGGTGCCTGAGGACGCGCGGTCCCAGGGGTGGCAGCGCCCCGGCCCCCTCCTGCTCGCCAAACGCGGGGTCCAGACAGCCCCGGTGCCCCCCTGGCACTTGAGGGGACGCGGGAGGGTTCGGGCAGCCCGTGGGTGTCTCGCGATGGCAGACGGGGGCGTGCCCTGCCCGTCCTGTCCCTGTCCCACTGGGGTCGGTCTGTGCCGCGGGGGGCTGCGGCCGCGGTGCGATGGCAGGGACGCCCGGTCCAGCCCTGTCCTGGACTGCGGCGCAGCATCCCCCGGGACCAACCATCGCCTCGTGCCGGCCCCGGCCCCAGGTCCTCAATTCGGAGCCACCTGGGCACCGTCCGCCGCTCCCGGCCGCGGTGAGGGGACTGCGGGGATGGGGACAGGGATGGGGACAGGGACACCGAGGGGCAGCAGGCAGGGGTGCCGGGTGGGCACGGGGGTCTCTCCTGTGCTCAGTGGGGCCGGGGGGAGCCCAGGACCCACCACAGGCTGGGGTGCGCCATGCTGAGGGTCCCCATGGCTCCCCCGCACCCACCGTCTCCCCCCGCCCCAGCAGAGGGTGACCCCTCCGTGCAGCCCCCGCCAGCCCCTGTGTCCATCTGTGCCATTTATCAGAGCTAATCAGCTTTAATTCAGCAATTTGTCATTCTGGTGAAGGCCCTTGCAGTTAGTTGATTTTTTTTTTTTCCCCAAATATAATTATTATTATTATACACCTGATAAGCATGGGCCCTCCCGTTACAGTCGCCTTTGCTTGGGCTTTAATAATGATCACTAAAATAAATAATTTTTTTAAATAAAAGGCAGAGAGAAGAGGGGGTTTTTTTCTTTTTTTTTTTTTATTGTTTTGTATGCATTTGAAAATTGTTTCCCAGTAAATCCCGGCCCTTTGTATTAATTTTACATTTTAAAATGTTACCTTGCCAGGGGCAGGGTTGGCACAACTGACTCGGGAAAGGAGAGAGAAGGAGAGAGAAAAACCCTTCTCCTTAATTAGCGTATTTCCCTGTGTGATCAGAGTGCTTATGAAGCAGGTAATGAGCTGGATGGGGGCTGGACGCCGCTGCTCGGTGGCTCTGGCGAGGCTGGAAGACCAGCCCCCCTCCTCCCTGCCTCCTGTCTTCGGTCCCCCCTTCCCTTTTTGGGGTGCTGGGTGCCTTTAGGGTCACCCTCTCCCACCACCAGCACTTCGCTGCCATCCCCACCTGCCCTGTCAGCGCTCGGCTGCCCCGGGGATGCAGGGATGGAAGCTTGGGGTGCCCCGTGTGATGAGTTGGAGCCAATCTCAGCCCTGCTCACGGCCGCTGGAGACTCAGGCGGGTGCAGGGATGTTGGGGAGCCCGAAGATGCTGCTTTGGGGTGGCCGGGGGGGCCGTGGCCACCATCCCCATCCCACCCAGGCCTGCGCTGACCCCTCCAGCCACTGACCACCCCGGGGCCGAGCTGTGGGGCGCTCGGGGTCCGGGAGCGCTGGCCCTGGAGCCGTGGGGCGTCCCCCATCCCTGGTCATGCCAAGGCAGGGGGCTTTCTGCTGGCAGGAGGGCCGTGCCGCAGGAGCCTCAAATTAATTAGCAAAGAAAACGTGCTCGACATGGGGGGGGAAAAAAGCCAAGCTGCCAGGTTGGCTCCTGCGGGAGCCGGTGAGTTTGGCCGGCGAGCTTCATCGGCTGCCGTGCCAGTAGTGCTGGGGGTCTGCAACGTCCCCCCCCGGGGTGCAGTTTAGGGATGGGGGGTTGCAGGGGTCGCCCCGAGGAGCCGGGGGGGGCGGCTGCCAGGCGGGAGCTGCCAGCATGTGCCACGGAGTTCTCCAGCGCCGCTAATCCCTTAATCTCTCAGATAATCAGTGCCAGAAACGCAAATTACACTGGGATTGCAGCGCACAGCTGCAGCGATGCCAACGCTTCGACGGTATCACCGTGAATAATGATTTTTTTGTGACTTACTACCAAGTGGTGCCGGTTTATCGGGCGTAAAACAAAGAGGCTCTGGGTTAATCTTGTAGGTTAATGGGGGTGTTGGGGTGGGCGGGGGGCTGGGGTGCCTGGGAGGGGGTGATGGGGAGAGGAGAGCGGTGCAGGGCTGGGCTGGGCTGGATCCGGCCCGGGGTCACGGTCAAACCAAGGTTTCAGCATGCCCCGGGGCCACCGGCATCCCCACGGTGGGATGCGGTGAAACATGGTCCCACTGACGCCGGCTTCTCCCGCAGGTTTCACCGCGGGGATTACACGGTGGAGGTGAGCATCAACGACTACCTGGACATCTACTGCCCGCACTACGAGGAGCCGCTGCCCGAGCGGATGGAGCGCTACATCCTCTACATGGTCAACTACGAGGGGCACGCGTCCTGCGACCACCGGCAAAGGGGCTTCAAGCGCTGGGAGTGCAACCGGCCCGACTCCCCCAACGGGCCCCTCAAGTTTTCAGAGAAGTTCCAGCTCTTCACCCCCTTCTCGCTGGGCTTCGAGTTCAGACCCGGCCACGAGTACTACTATATCTGTGAGTAGGGGCCAGCGGGGAGGGGGTACGTGGGGGTCCGGCGAGCACATCCTGGGGACGTCCTCGGCATCGCCCCGCGGTGCGGACCGGACCCAGATGCTGAGCCACGGCTTGGTTTGCGTTGGCCACCCAAAACGCTGCAAAGCCCCCAAACCCAGCCGTGCCCGTCCGGCTCAAGGTGGAGATCCCAGCTGGCACACATTTGGTGCCCAAAGCCTTCGCCGGGGCTGAGTCACAGCCACGGGCATGGGCTGGCCACGAGAGTGACTGGGACTTTCCAGGGACTGCGGGATGATGGGGACACTGATCTCATCCCTGTGGGACCACCACCGGGCACCGGTAAAGGTGCTGCACCGGTGCGGTGGCACAGCCCTGCCAGCCCCAGGCAGCGGCCCCGCGCGCTCCCGCACTCTGCCGCACGCTCCCCTGTGTTCCCGCGCTCTCCCGGGGCTGCGCTCCCCTTTCTCGCCCAACAGATGAAGCCGAAGCTGGCCGACCTGCTCTGGGGGAAACTTTTTTGTAGGTCCCCAGGCACCGGTGGCAGGATCAGGGTCCCCGGGATGGGGTGGATGAGGCCCCTCGTTGAATTTCTGCCTCCGGAGCGGCCAGACGCAGGGGCCAGGGCAGCAGAGGAGGGGGAGAGGAGCCGGACTGGCTTCCTCAGGAGGCTGCTGGAGCCATGGAAAAATAAGCTAATGGGGCTCAGATCAGGCACTGGGAGTCTGGCAATCAATAAAGAGGGAAAAAAAAATAAAATAAATGAGAAACCATGACCCCCAAGCACTCGACGGTGTCACAGGGAGACAGGGACGCCTCTCTTCTCGCACAGGACCCAGCCGGCATGCTTATCTCCCTTATTATTTCTCCCCCTTTTTCCTAAAGCATCTGTTTTCAGCCCACTTAATTTGTTCCTTTTATCTATATTAAATTACCATTTTTTTCCCCCTCTCCCTCTCCCCCTGTAAAATGTCACTTGCGAAATAACTGCATCTACAACTCTCTCTTCCTCCCCCCCCCGTTTTATTTTATTTTTTTTTTATTTTTAATGTCGTTAGGGAGAGATTACACAGAAGTAAATGGTGAAGCTGATCATTGCTAAACCGGTTAGAATTCATGTCATGCGGAACATTAGAAATTATGCCTCTTTGAGGAACCGTATTTAGCAGACATGAAAGAAAAGAAATTACCTCCTCCTCGAGCTCGCAAATTGGAATGCCATTAACCTCGCAGGCACGGGGACGCGCTCGTGCTCCCGGTGCCGGGTCAAGGGCATGGGCTGGCCCTGGGGATGGAGCCGGTGGACAGAGCTGCTGCGGGATGCCCGCGGCTCGGCTCGGCTCGGCTCAGCACGGCACGGCACGGCAGGCGCCAGGAGCATCTCGCGTGACCTTCTCCTTCCCCGCGTGGGGTGTAGCGCCAGGGAGGAAAAGAAAAGGGAAGGGTAAAAAAAAAAACCAACCATGGAGGCTTTGCAGCATCCCCAGCATCTCCCCAAAATGGCTGTGCCCAGGGGTGCCGGGGCTGAGCCCGTTCCCGTGGGAGCACGGGCGAGATGCTGACCCCGGTGCGGGGGCTGGATGCGACTGTTGAGGGGTCCGGGGGTACATGGCCCCCTTCACGGGGGGGTGCTGGGCTGCATGAGGTGGGTGCACAGCTCCGGGGTGCAGAGAGGGGTCAAGAGGAGATTGGGGGAGTGGGGGGGCCAGGGACCCAACCGAGCCAGTGGTCCCTCCGCAGCTGCCCCGTGGTTTTATTTGGTAAAAATAAATCAAACGGGTCCTGTGGAGCAGCGGGGGGGTGGCCCCTGTGTCACCATCCGTACCGGGGACCCCGCCGTGTCCCCCCCTAAGCGCCGGAGGGGAGGGCCGGCGGTGGCCTGGTGCTGCCGGAGGGGACTGCGTGTGCCCAGGCAGGGCTGGCCCCTTGCTGCCGCCTCTCCTGCGAGCAGCATCCCAATTCCCCCTTCTTCCAGCTGAAATTAAACTTTATTGCGAATAATGCTCTCTCCTTTAATTCAAAAAAAAGAGAAAAGAAAATTAAATTCCTTTAAAAACATATATATAAAAATCACATTTTCTCATATTGAGAGGGGACTTTCACCAAGATAATTATTGCAATTACTCCCTTTCTCTCTCCCAATGAGTATTATTTTTATTCTGTGCCTTTATCCTCATTTTGCCTGTTCAGGGAGAGCCGTGCAGCCCTGCCTGTGCTCTCGCAGCCCTCTGCGACGCAGGCGGTGGGACAAAAGCCACACCAGCCGTCGTCGCTCCAGCTATGCTGGGACCATCAGGGACCCTTTACTGGGCTCACCTGGGATGGGGTGGGGGCAGCCCCAGCCCTCCCTCCCTCCTGTGGGGGCTGGGGGGGGTGAGGGCTCTTCTGTGCCAGGGATGCTGTTGGGGCAGCTCTGCTCCCCTTCTCCGGGCTCCCCGCAGGATGTGGCCCCCCTGGCACTAGGGAGGGAGCGGGGAGGGGGGGGTTCTCCCTGCAGCGAGCGGGTTCTGGGACCCCCCCTTTTCCCTCTGCCCAAGGTGATGCCCCGGGGAGCCTCCGCAGCAGAGCAGCCTTATGATCCGCATTTCAAGCTGCTTCAGCATTTATGCGAGGTGACCCTGGGAGGGGACGCAGAGCCGGCTCGTCCCCGCAGGTTGTTCCCCCCCCCCGCGCCGTAACAGCACTGGCACCGGGCTCGGCAGGCAGGGTTTGCCGCTGGAGCTGTGCTGGGGCAGGGCAGCCCCCGTGGTGGCTTTTAAGGTTCGGTGACACCGTGAGCTGGAAAACCCCATGGGGGGGCTGTACCGCTCCTGACTCCGACCCCCCCATCCCCGGCCCTGTGCAGCGGGGCTGGATGCGGCCGCCCATCTCCCCAGCGAGCTCGGGGGGGGCACGACGTGCGCGGACCCTCGGGGGGTCCCTGAGACGCGTCCCTGCCCCGAGCTGGGCTCTGCTCCGTCCCCATGGTGGGGGCCGAGCCGCTGCCCCCCCTAACCCACCCCCTTCTCTCCCCTTTGCTTCTCTGCAGCCGCGTCCCCCCCGAACATGGTGGACAGACCCTGCCTGAAGCTGAAGGTTTATGTTCGGCCAACAAGTAAGTGAGCTGGGGGGGGGCCCTGGGTCCCAGGGGGGCAGCGGTTCTGGTGGTCCAGCGGTGGCTGGTGGTCCCAGGCGAGTGGAGACCATGGAGGGGGACAGGATGCCCCGGGTCCCACCTGGGTAGCACCCCGACGGCAACAGTGCCCGCAGCCCTGCCAGAGCCGTCCCGGCAGTGTCTGGACCACAGCAGGCGCATCGCCTGCACGGTGGACATTTGCCGCTGAGTTTCAGATAGGGGAAAAAAAAAAATAATAATCTCTGCACAGTGGCTACTTTTCAGAATCAAATAACTCAGCCATTTAAAAAAACAAATTAATAATTTTCTTCTCCTGTTAACGTGTAATTAGCAAATGGCAGCAGCTCTCCCTGGGGAAGAGTGCCTGCGAAATGTCACCATTTAAAAGGATGTCTTTCTTTTTTTTTATTTGCATGGCTTTAAAATAAAACCCAATATAATGAAACCATCTGTAAAAAATCATTCTGTTTTGTTCAGGACTAGGGCATAATAGGGGGAAAAAATCTCTCATGATATTATTTTTTAGTATTTTAATAACATCAGGATTTTATTATGCTGATGCCTCGTGGAGAGGAAGGGCTGCCTTTGTGCAGCTCGGGGAGAGGAGGCTGCAGGGGCTCCCCAAGGGCTGTCCCGGGCTGGGCACCCCTCGATTGGGTCTGGCGCCAGGACGAGTCCTTGAAACCTTCTCAACTGCAAGCGCCCGGCACAGGGGGACCCTGCTCTCGAGTGAACCCACACAGGGACCCTCCTGGACAGGGAGGGACAAGGGGACCGGGGGGGGGGATAGAGGGGGGATGCTCGATCCCCAGACTGGACCAGCCTCTGCTTTTTCTGGTTCTGGGTCCTTAAAAATCCTTAATCCGGTAACACACACGGGCGAGCCAAGCCCAGGGAGCACGTTAACAGCTTTAGTCATCGTTTAACGTGTTCCCCTGTGCGCTCTGGGCTGCCGCCGGTCGGGGCTCAGCTGCGGGACCACTGAGCTGTTGGCGAGCGGGTGCCCCTGCCCCGCACAGGCTGGTCTGTCCCCAGCCCCCAGCCCCACGTCCAAGCTGCCCCGGCCGCCGCGGCTAATCCCCCTCGCACAATGGCACCCGCCTCTGACCCAGGGGCTGTCAGGGGGGCTTAGGAGGGGATGGGATGCAACGCTGCTTAATCCCATTTAGAGGGCAGGAACCGGAGCGCCCCGTGCCCTTGCCCACCCTCCGGCCCCGGAGGGCACACGTCGCATCCCTGCGCTGCCCATCCCCGTGGCACAGGGCTGCCGGAGCTGCGCCTTGGTGTCCCTGCTGCAGGTCCCAGGAGCGGTGCAGGGCGGCTCGGCAGCGGCGCCTTTGGGGAAGCCGGGTTTTGGAGGGGGGGGGATCGGTACCCAGCTCCTCGCTGCGGGGGATGCTGCTGCATCAGCAGCATCCGGACCACAACCCCGGGGTGCTGAGCATCACCGCCCTTCTGCCGGGACAGGATCCGCCCCGGAGTGCGGCCGTCCTGTACGGCTCCACCGTCAGCTCATGCCTCCCTCTCTTCCTCCCGTTCCACAGACGATTCCCTCTACGAGTCCCCGGAGCCCATTTTCACCAGCAACAACTCCTGCTGCAGTCTCAGGGTCCCGCACGCCGTGCTCGTGGTGGTGCCGGTCGTCTGGACGCTCCTGGCCTCGTAGCACCAACACTGACGTGCCGGGGAGCGGCTCCGCGGGGAAGGAGCAGCCTGGGGACAGATCCTGGCCACCCCGAATCGCCTTCGAGTCGTGGCTTCTGCGGCAGCGGGACGTGCCTGGGGAGATCACCGGTGTGGAGGGTTGGTGCTACCGGCGAGAAGCTCGCCCGGATCCTGCTGCCGCGTGAAGTCCCCATCTTCGCACCGTGCCAGGACATCGTGCCGCGCATGGTGAAGGGCTGCCCCGTGGGATGGATCCTGGCTGCGCTTGCCGAAAGCTCCCGTCTCTGCGCTACGGCTCGCTCGGCGCCAGCCCTCCCTGTCGGATGTCGCTTTTTACATTTCTAGACCAAATATAGAGTCCTCGTTTTGTTTTGTGTTGGTTTTTTTTTTTTTTTAAGAAAAAAGATTTTTATTTTTATTTGTTGGGTTGTTTCAGTCTGGGCTTCCCCGTGTCAGACTGACCCACACGGGGCCGGGCTCAGCCCCCTCCCGCCGAGCCCCTCGCCGGGGCGGCTGCGGCACCCGACCTTCGCCCGGCCACGGGCAGAGCCGCGGGCAGCGCCGAGAAGCCAAGGAGAGACGGATGCCAGCGACGGTGCCGATGGCTCTGTTGTCGCAGACTCCTTCCCAGCCCGGCCATCGCTCCGGCAGCAGGACGTCGCGGTGCCGGCTGCGGCGCGCTTCCCCTGCCACCCCTCCGCCGTGGGGGTGTGGGGATGGGGGGGCATGGATGGACACGAGTCCCCGCTGAGCGCCTGGTGGGGTGACCCCGTCCCCACCGCTCGTGCCACGGATGTCACCGCCGTCCCCGTGGGACCCTGGGGCCGCTCCGCGAGCAGCAAAGCAAACTGGACGCAGCCGAGGGGAGCACCAGGGATGGCCGGCCGGCACGTGGAGCGCTGGAGATGGCCGGCCGGCACGGAGAGCACCGGGGATGGCTGGCTGGCACTGGGAGCACCACCGGGAGCTGGGAGCCGGCGGGCCGGGCTCGCCCAGCAGCCGGGATCGCTCCAAGGGTGTTTGGCCGGAGCCGGGGCTGGAGCCCCCGTCCGCGGCAGGGCTGATCTCGCCGGGGCGGGAGGAGCGTGCCGGCCCGGCGTTGCCCGTGGAGCAGGTTTTCCTCCTCCACAGCCTTCTGCTCTGCACCGCGTCGTGCCCCCCCCCGATGCCTTGGGGGTGCGAGAGCCCCCACGGGGGGGGCCAGCGGCCGCGTGCGGGACCATCGCGGCGCTCCCCACAGTTGCCCCTTTGTCCCCCCGGCTGCTGCCGGCATCCCCGGAGTTCCGGGGGTGGGCTTGGGGATTTTTTCCTTTTCCTTCTTCACATTAATAAGAAAAACTCATCGAAACCCCCGATCCAAGGTTGGCCCTGACCCCAGGGTGCCCCAGGGGTGGCAGGTCCCCAGGGAGGGGTCCCCCCTGCAGCCCTGGGGCCTGACCCCTCCTCGCCTTAAATCTGGGGCTGTCCCACCTGGGGGGGGTCCCGTGCCATCCCGCAGAGCCATCCCCACGCCCCGGGGGGTCGGTGGTCCTGGGGGACGACGGCAATGGGCTCGGACCCGGCCGAAGCCCCTCCTGCGGGCGCCTTTTCCGAGCGCACCCCAGACCCTTCCGGCAGCAGGGGGGCCGGCGGGGGCTCCGTCCCTGTACATACAGCGCTATACTGTGAGCGGTTTTTTTTATGTATTGTTGAGAATGAATTTTATGGAAGGGTTTATCTTATTTTTATTTTATTTTTATTTTTTAGACTAGGAAGCTGAAATCTCGCAATAAGCTCATCTTGACCATCCAAAAAATACAAAAAAAACCCACCCAATAAAAAAAAATCGCATTCCCTGCCGTCCCATCCCTGTCCCCGTGTGTCCAGACCAGGTCGTGGTTCTCAAAGGCGAGCGAAAGCATCGTGTTTATTGAGGGGATGAGGGAGGGCACCCACCCAGCCGGGCGCTGAGCACCCACCGGGCTCCGAGGAGGAGCCGGCAGCACCCACCTGCCACGGTGCCGGCTCGCAGGGGAGAGGTGACGGCAAAACCTGGCCTTCGGTCTGTGTTTTATATATATATAGATTATATATATAAATATCTATATTGTGTACAGCGACTGTGGGAGAGTGGAAAAGCGAATGCGGCAGCGAGGCTGGCAGGGGCCGGCAGCCGAGGCGAGGGGGTGCTGAGGGCTGGGGGTGCTTCGCTGTGGCCGGGCTGTCCCTCGGGAGCAGCCCGTCGTGGGCGCTGGTTCTGCGTGTTGGTCTCCGTTCCGCCTAGCTTCGTCCTTAGACACGCCGCTTTCGTCCTCGACGTCGTGCTGATGGTAACCGGATCACCGCCCCATTTGGATTCTGTATTTTTTTATAATAAAATAAAAATAAATGTCGTGTGAGGCCCTTGCTTTTGAGAAGTGACTTTCCCTCCCGATGCCGCGGCGCTGCGGGCCAAGCTGCACCGTGTCCCTGGGGGGGGTCCGGTCCCCCGCCGGCACTGGGGGGCGAGCCAGGGGGACCCAACGCCGGCACCGGGGCGGCCGCGCTCGGCTCCGTCCCCGCTCCCCGTGCAGCCCTCTCCCCTGGTGCAATGGGGCTGAGACACCAGACCGCTCTGCTGGGTGGTGTGTTAATTACGGGAAGGATTTAATTACCGCGTTAATGAATAATAATGGATATTAAATTAATTAATATGCAATTGTTGATAGTACTTAATTATCGGAGGCGATGCAGCCCGGCGGGTGGGTGCTCAGGGCTGGGATGCTCCGGCGTCTCCCCGGGTGCCGTGGCAGCCCCGGCTGCTCGCCCACCTCTGCCTCAGTTTCCCCCGTGCTGGGGCAGCGTTGGGCCACCAACGGGTGACATCCCGGGAGGCCACCAAAGCCGGGACAGGCCGCTCGTACGTGGCATCGCAAGCGTCCTTGGCTAACCCTGTCGCGACTCCCACCCCTTGGAAGAGCAGACCCAGCCGGGGAGGGCAGGGCACCCGCTCGCCTGCTCTTTTTGTTCCATAAGTACGAAGTAACTTTTTTGTGCGGCCCGTGTTCGTTCCCGCCGTTTAATGTGTATTTCAGCATAATTAGCAGAATAGGAACAATCCGCTGTTAATTAATTCAGGCTCGTACAGCTGATCGAGGCTCTGAAGTTTGCCACGAGAGAGTGAAAGACTAATTTTGCTTTTTAATAAGGGCCATCTGTGTGCCAGGAGCAGGGAGAAATACCACCCACCGCTGGGGAGGTGGGTGCTACATCGAGCTCTGCAGTTGCTGCCGGCTCTGCCAGCGATGGGCTCAGGCAGTGAAAAGTGCCAGGGAGAGAGCCCGGCAGGGACTTACCAAAAAAAGGCCATTTTTTAGACCCAGTCAGTAGGGTTTTTTGAGGCCTGACTCATGATTTTTTTAACACTGGGGGTTGGAAATACGGAGTTAAAAATAGCAAACTGGCAGGCACAAGGCTGAGACGGATCATCGTTAGTAATTAATAGAGTCATGGATTTTTAAGGCCTGAAAGGGATCATTTAGATCAGGCAGCCCGTTTCTCTCACAGAAGCGGTGAGGTTTGATTTAAGGACTCGTGGTGATGGAGAGCTGGTCCAGCCTCAGATGCTCCTCCTGCTGCATCTCGCCGGGGCCGGCACCGCCGGGTATCGCCCACCAGGTATCGCCCGCCGGCGCAGTTCAGTCCTTTTATTATATTTAACCCGGGGCTGGATGGGGGCACACGGGACTGGGGCTGCCGATGCGGCCAGGGCACGGCCAGGCACCCTGCGTCTCCCACCCGCCCCGTGCACGGGGGTCCCTGCGCCTTGAGGGTCCCGACAGCCTCGTGCAAAGGGGAGAGGGGACGCGGGGACCCGCTGCAGCACCCACACGCAAACGCCGGCGCACGGGTGATGGGAGCGGGGTTATTAACGCAGCCCGTAACGGGCTGAAACGGCCACCGCGGAGTCGAGCCCCTGGTCGTTCCCTTCCCGAGCGTTGCCGCTTCTCACCGACTTATCCCATCGGCAGCATCCACGTTACCGTGCGGGGGAATGGCGGCTGCCTGCCCGGTTGGAGGCTGCGGTGATGCCGGGGTGATAACCCGCCGCAGCAGACGGGCTGTCAGGGAACGGGAGTGGGATTCCCGTCTCCTTCCTTATTTAAAGTGTCTGGCACTGCTGGAAAAAAAAGATTTCCTCTGCACACTGACCTGGAGAAATGAAACACGTCTTAAATCTCTTCTCCGTAAATGTGGCAGCGTGTGGGAAGGAAGGGGAAGGAAACAGCCCCAGGGGGGGTTCCACAACCACCGACAGCCCCATAAGCCCCCAAATATCCTTAGTCCCAGCTGCAGTTGGGATTTTGCCGTCAGCCATGGGGGGGAGGCAAGGGGGCAGGATGGGGTACAGGGATGAGCAGGGGTCTGGGTGTCCCCAGGGCAGCGGGCTGGAGCAGGGGAGAGCCAGGGCTGAGGGATGGGATGGGGCTTCCCCAGCACCCCCTTTCCCTGGGGTGCTGTTGGGTTGGGGGGGGCTGCAATCGCAGCCGGAGCAGCTGCCGGGGTGATGCTGCCGAGCGCGGCCGGCACCGCAGGCAGGTGGGAGGCAGCGGGGGGGGGGATGTCACGAATGGCTGGCGGTGTCTGAAATGGGTTTTTACGGGCCGGAGTCTTCTCTAGCACCAATTTTACGTTGTCAGTGCCAGGACTTCAGAGCCACGTGGGCGCTGGCAGCCCCCGAGGTCAACAGCCCCGTTGTGCCGGTGGTCGGGGTTTCAGGGTTGACGGAGATACAGCTTCACCTCCGCACGCTGCACTAAGGGCTGATTTACTCCGGGATACGGCTGCGCCAATTAATCAGGACCCCAGGGCTTGGTGCGGGGCGGCAGGGCTGGGTCCGTGCCCTCCTTCCAGATGCTCAGGTGTGGGGTGGGATGGGGGCAGCTCGTGGACCGTGGCTTTCCCCGTTTGCCGTAATTCCTCTGCTGAGCGGTGAAGGGGAGCTCCCCCAGCACAGCCCTGCTCCAGCACACGCTCTCCCTTCTGCACCTTCCTCCTCCTCTTCCTCCTAGCCCAGGACATGCTTGGCTCCATCTCTCTCCCACCAACTGCCGGACTCCTGTCTGGCCGCACAGGGGGTGGTGGGAGCTGCCCCCTGCGATCCCGGGGGGGGACGAAGCTCGTGTCTAGGCAGGGCGGCTGCTGGGGTGCCGGCGGCCACAGGCACGGTTGGGTTGACCCAGCTGCACCTCCAAGGGCAGTTTTGGGAGGTGACGGACCCTTGGCTGCGACCCTGCAGCATCCCGCGTTGGTGCTCCCCATCCACTCTGGTGCAAAGTCACCGGGGCCAGCCCCGGCGCAGCTCGGGGGTCCTGAGCCCCCATGGCGGCAGCTGCCCGGTTGTGGTGTGCACCTTCCTGAGGAGAGCAGCTACTGTGCGTCTCTGCCAGCGTGCCGCTCCTTGCTCCAGTTGAACGTTTTCAGTGTTAATAGTTTTTTCGGTTAATCCCGTGAAGGCAGCAGGCGCACCGTGCTCCACTGGCCCGTGGAATATCCCGCCTGGTGTGAAGTTACAGCTGCAGACAGCTCAGGAGCCCGATCCGCAGCTTGCTCAGGAGGGTGTAGCCTCCCCAGCCCCGGTGATATCATCCAGGTTTACACCTCGGCGAGGTGCAGGATCTGGCCAGAAACTGACCGGTTCCCCCTGGCACCTCTCTGCCTTCTCTCCTCTCGTTCTTGCTCCAGATTCAGAAGCCTGCAGGCAAAACACAGCCTGAGGAGGGATGCTCAGCTGGGCAGGTCTGATCCCTGCCATGCTTTGCACCAGGGTTTTCCCGATTTGTGCTGTGGAGGGGCCAACCCGGTGCGTGCTCGGGCAGGGATGCTGCCTTGGCTCCTCCAGCAGCGCTGGGGCAGCCCCAAGCACCGTGTGCCGAGGGAAATATTCACAGCACGAGGACGGGCTGAGCCAAGCTCTCCCCAGGGAGAGCAGGGAGCTGGCAGCGCCCCGTGCTAAAAAATGATCCTTTCTGCAAAGGCTGCATGATTCCCCAACCTTGCCGGCACCCTGACCCCCATTCGGGCCAGCCCACCCACCGAAATGCTGCCTCCCCCAAACCCCACCAAGTGCTCTGGGCTCCCTCCCTGTGAGCTGCCCCATGACCCCTCCCCAGCATCGGGCTTCAATTTGCTTCATTTAAATGAATTCCCAGAGGCCGGGCTACCGTCTCGCCTCCCCGCGTCCTCCGTGGCCTTGTGCCTTTGCACGTGGCTTGTGGGTGCTGCAGAGCTCGGGCTCCTGCATCCACCAGCTTGCACGGTGGCCACCGAGGTTTGCACGTGCGGGGCTCATCCCTGCATCCCCCGGTCCCATCCCACGCAGGGGACTGCAGCACCCTGCAGCACCCTGTGCTCACCGTGGGCTCACTGGCACCTCCCAGGCTCCATCGCTTCTCTCCGGCAGCTCCCGGTGCAGGCTCCTGCCCCATTTCGGCACGGCTCCGATAAGAGCGCGCATCCATCACCGTGAGAGGCGGCCGGGCTCGCCGGGGGAAAGCGCTGATAAAGTGGTGCGGGGGGACCCGCCGTCCCTGCTGCTTGTTTTCTGCTACCTGGCTGTCACATCTGCACTTCACTCCCTGCCTTCCCTCCCACCATCCCTCTCCCCAGCCTTATCTCCTGATAGGTACAAGCGATACAACCCGAAACGTTCATGTAACAAGCTGCCGGCTGCCGAGCACCCAGGAGAATACCAGATCGGGGGGATGATTTATGAAAATAGCGCGAGAGAGGAGAGCGGGGAGTTTGCTGAGCCGCAGCAGAGACGAGTCGCACGTGGCGAGGGATGCCGGCTCCCATCGCCGCTCCCGGAGCATCGCTGGCACCTTTGCTCCCGGCTGATCCGGATGCGGGGCCGTGCCTGGTGCCGGTGGGCGGCCGAAATGGGCGGCGCAGGGGGGGAGGCGGGTGCGTGCAGCCCCCGCGCTGTCCCTTTGCGGCCATTGATTTCCATGAAATAAGGCAGCCGAGTGTGTAATTGCGCACAGCGATGGCAGCCTCCTTTACATGCCGTTTGGCAGGGCCCTGCTCGCAGGAAATGAAACTTTTCAGGCCACTAGACATTTAGTTTTCTTCAGCTGTTAATTCCCCCGCCCCGGGGAGAGGAGGGGGCGAGGGCGGCCTCGCAGGGAGGGTGATGGAGGGGTGGGCTGGGGGCTGCTGCAGCCCCCCGGGCGTGGGAGCATCCGTAGGGAGCGATGGGCGAGAGCATCTCGGGAGGTCAGTACCCCTCGCCCGCACCCAGGGCACCTTCCCTGCCCCTTTGCCACCATCCTGAGCCCAGCTTGGCCGGTGGGAGAGGCGAAGCAAGCACCGAGCATCCGCGTCCCTGCCCTCTGCCAGCCCCCAGAGCTTTGCCGAGGAGCAATTTCTCCCCCAGGCACCGAGTGAGCATCCATTCCCCTCGAAGAGCTCCTCTCTCGCAAGGTAACCGGCATTATATTCGGACCAATTGCTCCAGCATGATCCTCCTGAATGTTGCACAGCATGTACACGGCGTCTTATGTAAAATACATGCCCCTGGGTGAGCCTTTTAATAGCAATGGCTCCTGCCCGGGGGGCGGGGGGGCCGCTCTCTGCCACGGCGGTGCCAAGAAATGATTGAAAAGTTGGGGCTCGCCGTAGGAAACACCCTGCTGGGGGGAACAACGTGTTTTCATTCCCCTGCCAGGTAACAAATGAAAAGAATTGCAATGAATGCTAATGGGGTGGGGAGTGGGATGCTGCGGACAGAGGCTGCCGGGGCTGGAGCCGGGGCTGGGCAGGAGCTGGGGTGAGCGGGGATGGGGGGGTCTGGCCCTGGGAACGTGGGAGCTGCTGGGGGACCCTGGGTTTGCAGACCGGAGCCGGCCACGTGGCAGACGGCCTGGCCCAGCACAGGGCTGGTGGGTGCTATGGGGAGGATGCTCTGGGGTGCTGTACCAAAATCGTTTCTATTCGTAGCAAACCAGAGCTGGTGGAATGTGGCAGCCCTCAAAATTCCCCTTGACGGGAGCTCCCATCCCCAGCGAGCCCGTCCCGGCTGTCACCCTCCCTGTGCTACGGCCGAGCTGCCGTTGAACCGGCTCCTCGCAGGCAGCCGGCGAAGGGCTGCGCCAGGCTGAGCTGTTTGTAAATGAAGCCGGTCTGGAAAGCGGGAGGGTAAACACGGATGAATAGCCTTCATCCACTCCAGTAAATATTTTATATCACACACCAAGAAAAGACACTCCTATTTAAATGATTTATAAAGGAAGATCATGTAGAGGTTTCTATAAAATATGTAGGGCTCCTAATCCCGACATCATCAAGCAAAGAGGACTGAAATCATATATTACCTTTTCAACAGCCTCGCCGGCTGCAGGGATACAACTGACAAATAAAAGTGTGTTTACAGCTTTTGGGCTCCTCTGGGGAGAGGTAAATCATGGTGGGGGTGGGAAGGGGAAAGGAAGCCGGAAATTAAGTGGCAATTTCTGTCCGTTACGGCGGTGCGGGGCCGGGGGGGTGGCGGGCTCGGGGGACCCCGGTGTCCCCGTCCCAGGCAGTCATGCTGTGGGTGCAGGGATGCTCATCCCCCAGCGGGACCCTGGGGGGTGGGCGCAGGGATAAAGCCCTCTGGGATGCCCAGAGCCGCACCGATGTACAACGGGTTGGTGCACGTCAAGGCCGTGCCCTGCTCGTCTCTGCAGCAGAGCTGGATCGACAGCAGCCATCGGGGATGGGTTTTCCATGGGCAGCAGCAGAGTCAGGATCAGGCCCGTGGGGATACGGGTCTTTTAACCTGGGGGCTGGCATCCACCCCCTCCACGCTGCCACTTGAGGCTCCCACTGCCCCATCCCCTCGCCGCGTCCTTTTGGGTCCATTTATTGCTTTTTCCCCCCACCGCAGACCCATGTGCTGCCACCATCTCCCCACCGGGAACTGGGGGACCCACGGCCCTGGCAATTGGCACGCACCATGCACCCGCGCCGGCGAGGGGCACAACCGGCCTCTGGCAGCGGCGGCGGCGATTTGGCATGCGGCAGCGGGAGCCACCAGCCGATGGGGCCCTGGCCGCCACGTTATTAAGGGATTAGCAAGTTGTCTTGGCGCTCAATTGTAGATAAGTGCCGCATTTTGTATTATCTTTTCACGCTGCACCGCGAAGGATGACAAAGAGACAACATGGGTGTCATGGCCTTCAGCATATCATTAAGGGTAATTTGTCTTGCGGGGAGGGGGAGGGTGAAGAGAGAGAGGGAAGGAGAGGAGGCGAGGGAGGAGAGGGAAAAGCAGCCCGGGAGGAGAGAGGGGATTAAAAACTAAGGAGAGGAGATTAGGAGTGAAATGCAAACTGTATTCAGAGTCAGCCAGGCAGGGAGAAGCAAATAGCCGAGGAGGGGACAGCCGTGCCGTGGGGGCTCAGCCCGGCAGCCGGGTCCTGCGCTGGGGCCAAGGCGGCAGGAGAAAGCTCCGGGGCTGGGATAGAGGAGGCAGGAGGGTGGGCAGGATGGGGGGGGCTTCAGAGACCCCCCCTCTTCTTTTCCTGCACAGAAGAGCCCTGAATCCATCCCCAGCCTCAATCATACGCATTAATCTATAATAATAAGCAGCCATGCAGCCCGGTGTCACAGGCAATAAGATGCACACCGGAGGACTCGAGTGAATCCATTTCCCCCTTTCATGACTGACTAACCATTGCCATCAGCCCAGGGGGCTCTGGGGGGGGCTGGGGGCACGGCAGGGGGGGCCAGGGCATGATGGCAGCTCCCTGGTACAGCCCAGTCCTTGGTGCAACCT